CTCAACAACTTCTCTTTCAACTCCTCTCATTTTCTTCAGGTAAGAGGGGTTGCCATGGGTACCCGCATGGGCCCTAGTTATGCCTGTCTCTTCGTGGGGTACGTGGAACATTCCTTGTTCCAGTCCTATTCCAGCCCCCACTCACAAGTCTTTCTCCGATACATCGATGATATCATCGGTGCTGCTTCCCTCTCTTGTCTGGAATTGGAAAACTTCATCAATTTTGCCTTCAATTTCCATCCTGCTCTCACTTTCACCTGGTCTATCTCTGACTCCTCCCTTCCCTTCCTCAACATTTCTGTTTCCATTTCTGGGGATAGACTGGCCACTAATATCCATTACAAACCCACTGACTCCCACAGCTACCTGGACTATACATCCTCACATCCCGCTTCCTGTAAAGACTCCATCCCACTCTCTCAGCTCCTCTTTCTCCGTCGCATATGCTCAGATGAGGCCAACTTCGACAAGGGAGCCTCTGAAATGTCCACCTTCTTCCTCAACTGAGGATTCTCCAACTCTGTTGTCGACAGGGCCCTCAACCGGTTCCGACCCATCTCCCGCACATCCGCCCTCACCCCTTCTCTTCCCTCCCGCAACAGCGATAGCGTTCCCCTTATCCTCACCTACCATCCCACCAGCATCCACATTCAGAAGATCATCAGACGCCATTTCCGCCACCTCCAGCAAGATGCCACCACCAGACACATATTCCCCTCCCCTCCCTTGTCCGCCTTCCGCAGGGACCGTTCCCTCCGGGACACCCTGGTCCACACTTCCTTCACCCCCAACACCTACCCACAGCCCTACAGCACCTTCCCTGTAACCGGCGAAAGTGCAACACCTGCCCATTTACCTCCTCCGTCCCTAGTATCCAAGGGCCCAAATATACCTTCCAGGTGAAGCAACACTTCACCTGCACTTCCGAGAATCTAGTCTACTGTATTCGCTGCTCACAATGTGGTCTCCTCTACACTGGGGAAACGAAGCGTAGACTTGGCGACCGCTTCGCAGAACATCTATGTTCTGCTCGCAAAAAAGACCTTGAACTACCTGTTGCCTGCCACTTCCATGCACCACCCTGCTCCCTGGCCAACATCTCTGTCTCTGGCTTGCTGCAGTGTTCCAGTGAAGCCCAAGCAAGCTGGAGGAACAACACCTCATTTTGCAATTGCGGACCCTACAGCCCTCCGGACTCAATATTGAGTTCAATAATTTTAGGGCCTAAACTCTCCCATGTCCCAGCCCCCCACCTCACACACCAGGCCCTGTTACCACATAGCCTGCCATTACACACCCCCTGTTGTCAGTCACTAACAGTCCCCATTAACAACTACTCACCCTCCCAGCCTGATCGTTAGCAACTCCTTTGTCTGTCCAACTGCCTTTCTCTCTCTTTGGGCTCTATCCTGTCGTTTACTCCCTACCCCACCCACCTCCCTATTTTCTGCATATAAAGTGACATTTTCCCAGCCACCATCAGTTCTGAGGAAGGGTCACCAGACCTGAAACTTTAAGTCTGTTTTCTCCTTCACAGATGCTGCCAGACCTGCTGAGCTTTTGTTCCTGATTTACAGCATCCGTAGTTCTTTTGGTTTCTATTCCAACAGGTTTATTTGAAATTACAAGTTTTCAGAGCGCTGCTCCTTCATCAGGTGAAATCATCAAAAGCTTGTGATTTCACATAAACCTGTTCACATATAACCTGGTGTCGTGTGACTTCTGACAATAAAAAGGAATACAAATGTGGAGTTCTTGGAAAGACTGACATGTGTTTGGGAAGTAACATGCTCAAGGACTTTGAAGAAGAAAACATGATTTGATGAAGGGGCAGAAGTTTGCAATAATGGAGGGCTTAAGGGTTTTCTTTCAGAAGAAGGGTAATGATGGAACATCTGAAGGAGAGATGCAGAAGAACTATAAACAATATCAGCTCGCATCATCAACATTACCCCTAGTTTATGCCCTGTCCCACTATCAGGACAGACCCAGCAGAGGAGTGGACACAGTGGTACGCAGTCAGGAGGGAGTTGTCCTCGGAGTCCTCAACATTGACTCCAGACACTGTGAAGTTTGCTGGCATCAGGTCAAACATGAACAATGAGAATCGGGTGAAAAAATCTTCGCTGGTTGGAGTCATACCTAACATGAATGAAGATGGTCGTGGTTATTGGAGGTCAGTCATCTCAGCTCCAGGACATTTCTGCAGAAGTTCCTCAGGGTACTGTCCTAGGCCTAACCATCTTCAGTTGCTTCATCAATGACCTTCCCTGCATCATAATGTCAAAAGTGGGGATGTTTACTGATTGCACAATTCTCAGCACCATTCAAAACTATTCAGATATTGAAGCAGTCCCAGTCCAAATGCTGCAAGACATGGACAGTCTTAATCACCATCCTTGACATTTAAAGGTATTGCCATAGGTGGATCACCGCTATTATCAACATCCTGGCGGGTTACCATTGACCAGAAACTGAACTCAACTCGCCATATAAATTCTGTGGCACCAAGAGCAG